CTTTAACTGAAAGTCAGAATTAAACCCTTCCTCCCTCAAATTGCTGCTTGCCAGGTATCTGGACATAGCAATATGAAGAATATCTAAAACAGAAGTATTACATTCATAGATAAAAGATAGGCCGATATTTCATATATAACACCTATATGGAGAGAGAGCATGATATAAAAGAATCATTTAATTTTTCAAATGATACATTTAATTCAACAGATAATGTCTATGTCCCCAAACCTTCAGAATACTGATGTGTAAATGAGACTCATCACATGGAAACATCGAGATGCTGTCAATACACATTTGGGTCCCAAAGTCATGTTCATAGGCTTTGTCCCCAGGAAGATGTAAGGTTGAATCTTGCCTCTAAAATCCTCCATCTTTGCAACACTGGGAAGGTTCTAGTGGTTCTATAGACTTGTTTTATGTATATTTTCTCATCACTTTAACTGTAAAGGTAGAAAGAGGTCAGACCTTCCACAGTGTCTGTGCACAGCAGGTGCACGGTGTAGTCTGTCTGTTTGTCTGTCTGTCTGTCTCCTCGATCTTGTTTCCCAGCCACATTTTAGCAACCCTGGTGGTTCAGAATGGCCCATTTACCATTTAGTTTATGTTGAGTGTTAATTTCCATCCCTGGGAGGATCGTGAGTCAAAGGACTTGCCTGCTCATCTGAGTGAAGCCCTGGGCTCTGGGTGAATTGGGGGAGCCAGAGGCAGAAATCAGAATCCAGGCAACAATCCAGGCATCGGCCATGACTGTAGCCTCCAAGGATGGAAAATGCAGGAAATATTTTGGGGGCTGTGTATTGTGGTGTGTGTGTGTGTGTGTGTGTGTGTGTGTGTGTGTGTGTGTACACATGCCTGTGTGGCTGTGTGCATATGGGGGTCAGAGGTCTGCCCCTCCAGGACTGGCACTGCAGACATGTGCTACTACACAGCTTCTCTGTCACATCTGTGCTAGGGACATGAACTCAGGTCCTCATGCTTGTGTGACAATTGCTTTACAGACTGAGCCAGATCTGCAGCCTGTTTTTTGGGGGTGCTGTTGTTGTTGTTGTTGTTTTGAGTAAGGAAGTGAGTTCAGTGTCTTGAGCTTTTCCCCATTCCACGAGGTCTAAAGTCACTCAGTAACCTTTGGAGCTAGATTAGCTGAAGTGTTCACTATAACCCAAATGGTAACTACTGAGAAAATAACTTTAAAATATGCAAAAGGGGGGGAATGTGGGGATCACAGTGACACACTAGAAAAATATCAAATAAATATAAAAGAAGTTAGTATTTGAGTCATAAAACAATAAAAAGAAAGTAGCAGAAGACCCTCCTACAGTCGCCACTTCACACAGGAAGATTAAATTACAAGCTGGCAGCAATTTAGCACTTGGGAGACAGAATAGAAGGTTATGAGTTCAAGGTCAGCCAGGGCTACACCGTGAGATGTTGTCTCAAAAGAGAAAGACAACTATCTCTTCTGTAAAAGAAACCACTTCTGGGGCTGGGAAGATGGCTCAGTGGTTAAGAGCACTAGCTCAAGATTTATTGCTAGCACCCACACAGCAGCTCACAACCATCTACAACTCCAGTTCCAGAGCATTCTATGACCTCTTCTGACCTCCAAGGGTATCGCATGAGCACAGTGCACAGACACAGTACAGTCAAACACTCATACACAAACAAAATAAAATAAATCTTTTGTATAAATAAAACTATGTTAGCTCCAAAGACTGAAATTGAAAAGAATGGAAAATATGTGTTTCATGAAAATAGTAAAAAGAAATTAAAGTAGCTGTACTCATATCAGATGAAATAAGCTTCAAGCCAATTATGAGACAAAAAGATGATTGGGTATTATAAGAAGATCAATTTGCCAAGTAGATATGTAATTCTAAACATATGTGCACAGAAGCTGCTGGCTGGCAGATGGCCCTCTAAGAGGGAGAACCTTGAAACTGTTTTAAAAAAAAAAACATTCAATCCGTGTAAACACATCCAACATGCTAAATTGGAAGGTTAAAAATATTAAGGTGGCCAGGCAGTGGTGGCGCACGCCTTTAATCCCAGCACTTGGAAGGCAGAGGCAGGCGAATTTCTGAGTTCGAGGCTAGCCTGGTCTACAGAGTGAGTTCCAGGACAGCCAGGGCTACACAGAGAAAGCGTGTCTCGAAAAACAAAACAAAAAAAAAATATTAAGGTGGCAACACCATGTAATTCCCTTTTTTTGGAAAACTGGAAAAGCTTGTCTTCAAATTCATTCAGAATTGCAAGAGACCTTGTGTTGGGGTCCAGGAGTAGCCCCACAAACCACACGGATCTCAGTCAGACAGGGAGAGGTTATTAAGCATTTGCCCAGGGACTGATTAGTCAGAGCCACAGGACAGACTCAGAGCTGATTTTGACATTGAGTCAGTATCCTACAGAGCTTTTAAGTCTGAAATCCACATCTGTGCCAAGTTGTTCCACCAAACAGGATTTAGGGATAGGAGATTTCCTTGGGAACATGTCTTTCTTGTACATCTATCCTGTCCTTATTGGGGTATTCAACTGTGGTGGGGGACTTGCCTTGCCTAACACTCATATTTTATCTTGCTAACCAAGATGTCAGTTACCCATAGATATGACTTCTGCCAAGTAAGATGTCATTACCCCGGGAGGTCTTAGGAACTTAAAACTTTACTCTTCTCCTACTCAAAATGGAAGTCTTACTCTAACAGATGCAGGTGTCTCTCTTATGCTGGGGTCCATCCCAGGTAAGCTTATAAAAGTAAATGCCACAGAAGCTCATACATAGATGCAGGAAGTGCCACCAAGCAGTTGGTTCAGGTCCAAGTTTATTGCGGCTAACTATACAAAGCAGTTCTAACTGCCCTCTATTTCAATTGGTTTCCAAGAACACCAAAGCACGGAACACAACAGGATATGCAACCAACTGGGGCATGAGAATAATTTTCCTTGTAACACTAATAACAGCTTAAAATAGCTGTCTAGACAGGCAGCAGTTACCCAGGTCTTGACACTTTGTATCTTGGTAGATACACAAGTTCCTGTAAAACAGGGCCTTTCTGGGTAGCTAGGTACCAGCATACAGTAGGGAATACAGTTGAAAAGTGGGACTTCCCACAACTTCTCTAAACTCATTTCCAGGCTGTGCAGTTAAATCAAAACAACAAAATTAAAATAAACACAATTGCTCAAGAAAAAAAAAAAGTAGGAAGCCAGAGGCTCACCTGTCATCTCAGCACTCAAGAGACAGGAGCACCACATGCTCTGGGCTAGCCTGGGCTACATAACAAGACCCTGTCTCCAAAAAGAGGAGAGGGGAAGGTTTTTTAATTCGAGTAACTAATTGTGGTACACAAGACTTCCCAGGAACCAGATAAAGAAAGGGTGCTGGTCAGCATAGTCTACAAGGTCACTGCAGTTTACTACAAGCCCAGAAAAGAATGGTGTAAGGCTGTGGTGTGGTGGTGCATCCCTTTAGTCCTAGCATTCGGGAAATAGAGACCAGCGGAGCTCTATGAGTTCAAGGCTATCCTGGTCTACACAGTGAGTTCCAGGGCAGCTACATAGTGAGAGCCTGTCTCAGACTGCAGCAAACGTGATCAATGTGACCCTACTTAGTGACTCCACGCTTGTGGAAACTGAGGAATGGTTTTACATGAGCAACCCTGGAAGGACTTGACTACACCAAAGGGCTGAAGGAGGAATGGAACACTCTAAGTTCATATGGGGGAAAGCAATGATAGACCATTTGACATAAACTGATGGAAATGTGATTTTGTATAAGGAATGAAAGCTATTTCTCTAAGCCTAACAGGGAAAATTAAGCTTCTAGCCCAAATCGGACAGCAGTCAAGAACACACACCACCGTCACTGAACACACACCACCGTCACTGAACACACACCACTGTCACTGAACACACACCACCGTCACTGAACACACACCACCGTCACTGAACACACACCACTGTCGTTGAACACACACCACCGTCATTGAATACATACCACCATCATTGAACACACACCACCATCATTGAACACACACCACCGTCATTGAATACATACCACCATCATTGAACACACACCACCATCATTGAACACACACCACCGTCACTGAACACACACCACCATCATTGAACACACACCACCATCATTGAACACACACCACCGTCATTGAACACACACCACCATCATTTCTATCTGGCAGTGGACTGGGGGCCTGGTCAGCACCTCGGGCATTAAGAGAATTTAGATTGAAGAGTCAAGCCACAAGATTAAACTACTAGAAAAATTATAGGCAATAGGAGGACGAGGCGTATTCATTTGTTATATATTAAAACGTAAAGACCATTTGTCCTGTTATCATGAGACAGTCACTTTAAGACCTACTGACATTGGGGGTAAATATAACAAAGATACAGAAAACCTCCATAGGGAATTTTTTTTTGACTGGGGATGTAGATCCGGCCTGGCATATACAATGTGCTAGGTTTCATTCCTAGCAAGACACGCGTGCTCACACAGTCAGGGGTGCGGAGGGGAGACAGAGAGGAGAGAGAAAGAGGGAAGAGGAATGAGAGAGAGGCAGAGAGAAGAGAAAGGAGAGAGAAGAGAGGGAGAGAGAGAAGAGAGAGGGAGAAAAGAGAAAGAGATGGTGAGAGAAGAGGGGAGACGGAGAGAGAGGAGAAAGAGGGGAGAGGGAGAGGGAGGAGAGGAAGGGAGAGGATGGAAGAGCGCAAATGAAGAAAGGGAGAGAGAAGAGAGGGAGAGGAAGGAGAGAGAAGAAAGGAGAGGAGAGAGGGAGAGGAAGGAGAGGGGGGTCGGCCCTTTAAGTTCCAGATGAGAGGATGAAGGGACAGCAAATCCGGAAACAGGCCCTGCCTCTGTAGTGGGCGGGGCTAGGAGGTGGTGGTCGGGGATTCGGCCAGGCTTTCCTCTAAGCAGAGAAAGGCCGTCCTAGAGCCATCTCCGAGCCTCTTTCCCTCTCTTCTCCCGGCAGAGTTTGGACAAACCTAACCACCCTCGGCCAGGACTTACGACCCATCTTGCCACCACCATGACACCTGTGTCACTTTTTCAGCTCCTGCTGGTGCTCAGCCTAGCACCTCAGCCGGTGCCTGGAAGTCCCAAGCAATACTTTCTGAGTAGGTGCTGGGTCTGGGCTCGAGGGGAGTAACGGGGTTAGCTCCTGTGGAAAAGAAACTATCTCAGGGGACACCTCTAGAGAATTTCACAATGACTAGAATAGTACCGCATTCAAGGATCCGAACGTTATAGTCAGAAAACTCTAGGTTTGAATCTCGGTTCTGTTCGTTTATTACAGGGCTCCAAACTCTCTGAGAACAAGGGGTTTTGGTTTTTGTTTTTTTCCCAACTGCGATGTTATAATGTAAATAATGATATTGAGACAAGAAAAAAGAGAAAGAAGCTGGTGTGTTCAGGCGAGGTGCTCTCTTACTAGACCATGAGACACATCCCAGTAAACATTAATTACAGTAAAGGTCGTTGGCTTCATCCTCCTGGTTAAGTTTGCTGTCCCCAGTTCCAACATGGAGGGAACCCTGGTCCCACTCTTCAAGCATTTAGATAGACAGGAAAATGAAATTGGTAGAAATCAAGATTCCATCTGTATAACGTTGACCGTGGAGGATATGTGGGGAGGAAGGGAAAGGGATTGAGCATTTTATTTTATGCTTGGTAAAATCTAGAGGCACTCCACAATTACCAGTAACTAGCACCCGCTAGAGTCTGTCTCGTTGGCCACTAAAGCTCTTTAACCTGACAAGGGCCAGTACACAGTAGGAAGAGAGCTGTTTTGTGTGCATTCCTCTCTGTATTTGGGCTCAGGCAGAGGATATGACTGACAGCTCATGTTGCTGTGGAGGCTCGGTTCTGTTTCCAGAACTTCTGGGAGGAAAAGGAGAAGCCAGAGGTTGGCATCCCATTCTGAAATTCCCACCCTCGACACCTCAAAAAAAAATAATCCACCCTGAACTATGAGTTGGATTCCAGCTTCCAACCCAGCTCTTGCAGTTTGTTGGGCTCGTTGTTGAACTGCACTTCTGTTTAGGCTTCTTTAAAAAAAAAAAAATCTGTTTAATGTATATGAGCACACTGTCGCCGTCTTCAGACACACCTGAAGAGGGCATCAGATCAGATCCCATTACAGATGGTTGGGAGCCACCATGTGGTTGCTGGGAATTGAACTCAGGACCTCTAGAAGAGCAGTCAGTGCTCTTAACCACTGAGCCATGAGCCATCTCTCCAGCCGGTTTAGGTATATGGGTGGAGATATATATATATATATATATATATATATATATATATATATATATATATAATATGAATGTGTGTTCTACACAAATAACCTATGTTCAGTTGACTCCAGGATAAATTTAAATTAATATAAACTAGGCAACCGATACTTTTTCACTTCACACACACACACACACACACACACACACACACACATTCATACCCTTGAGACAGACCCTACCAGAGTCTATGGGAACTCAGTATCTGATCTGGAAGGATTACAAATAGACAATGAGTTCAAGGTTCCACCAAATAGTCTCAGATCTGATATCCAGCCCTAGTTCACTGAACAGAACCCAGAGGAAGATGAGAGCCAGGGGCAAAACCTATTCTCATCCCTGGAGAGCAGCAAGGGAAGACAAGGTTGCTGCTGCCTGTTCTCTCAATAACTCTCTTCCCTATTCTTCATTCCAGAGTATATCTTTGAACCTCCACCCTGCAGATCAGAGCCCGAAGACTGCAGCACATTCTGTACACAGCAGGAGGAATGCCTCCACACTCTTCAATGCTGTTCAGCCTACTGTGGGATAGTGTGTGCTTCAAACCAAGCCCCAGTACTTGGGGTCTCCTGAGGGTCTCCTCTCCCAGCCCTGGCACCGGAGCCACTGGCAGAGGCTGACAGCTGAGCCTCCTGCCCATGAGTGTGACGGGTCTTCTTTCCTTTGCCTTTCATCTCGTTGGTTTTGCCATATTGCCCACCTCGTCTCTGCCTTTACCAAGAATGATTTCCACAGAACTCCTAATTAAAAGGGCATCCTCAAATCTCATCCCTCCACCACCATAGCTGTCAATCTCTGTCCCCGTCTCTCTGAGTGTACTCAGAGTTGCCTCTGTCTCTATTCTGGGACCTTCCTGGTCCCAGAATCTACCTTTATCCCAGAATCTGCCTGGAGTGATGGATCTGGTCACACATAGCAAATTTGTTCTCTTTCTGCTTCGTTTCCTTCATCCCTAGACATTCTCATTTCTTAACTTGGTGCTCTCAAAGGAATTAATCTCTCTCTCTCTCTCTCTCTCTCTCTCTCTCTCTCTCTCTCTCTCTCTCTCTCTCTCAGCTTGCTCATCATTAAGACAAGAATAAACATGAGACTAAAATAAAAACCACAAATGAGCTGAAGCAGTCTCTTGCCTCGTGATTAATTTCCATACATTTTACTGGTCCCTCGACCAGTTCTGTCTGAAAAGACTAGCCCATGCGACTAAACTCCACATCTTTGAACGTGCAGTGTTAGATAGAGCTCAAAGGGACAAAAAGCTGATGGTGGTGGCACCAAGCTCCTCCTTCCTTGTAGCAGGAGGGCTCCGTTTCATGTTCTGCCTTCAAGTGGGATTAACAAAGAGTAGGAATTACACCTTCAAGAACAAATTGGCACCCAACATAGTTGAGAATATTTTCTTCTACAGATTCAAGAGATTCAAGACTCCTCAGGTTTGACCACTGAGGTATGCTCCCAAGTGCATTGCCTAAGTGTAAGGTCCTCCTGATCCTCCTCTTCCTCTTCCAGACTCCTCCAAAATCAACCAAGTTCTCCCAAAGCCAAAATGGCCTTCTTGATGGCCAGATTGCCTGGTCCTGTGTTTTCCACTCCACCTTCAGTTTTCGAACTCATTACCTGGGGGGCAGAGTATGGGAAGGAGAGTCATGTCCTAAGGGGAGTGCAGGACACTCAGACCTGAGGCTCTGCTAAGGAACAGTCTGTTCTGTCCTCCAGTGGGAAGTACCAGGAACAGGAATTCAGACTGGGCCCTTCACACTCTGTGAGTCAGTCACTGGTTAACTTACTATACAGAGGTACAGTTAAGCTGCTCATGCAAAAGAGAGAGAGGCCATCCATGCCTCAGGATGTTATGGGGATAACTCAATGCTGCATGGATGGGACTATCCTCACTGAGGAGGCTCTGCCAAGATGAGAACACACAGATGTCACTCTTTCTGGGTGTTTGCTCTCTGAAAAGGTGGAGAAGGGGTTGCCTCTATAATTTCACTGAAATTACACAAAGCTCACTATCAGAGGTCTAATCAGTCTGAGACCTTTCGCTTCACAGCTGGGCACTCATGCACTCAGTGCTCAACTCAACACATAGTAATGCTCAATCCTGGCCCTTGAGGTAGGTGGGCTCAGCCCTCCCACCAAACCAAACTCGAAGTATAAGAGCAGTTGACAACAGCCTCTTCTATCTGCTGCTTGCTCCACCATGAAGCCTGCTAAGCTGGGGTCTCTCCTGGGATTCTCCCTCTTCTGCTTACTCAGTCCTCCGGTACTGAGCGGTGTTGAACGGCTTGCTGAGCATCTCTGCAAAGAATACAACGGTATGAGTAAAATTAAGGCAGAAGGGAAATTCCAAGGTCAATTACAAATGGGGGAGAAAGAAATGTAAGCAATTCCCCTGGGTGGGTCAGAAGGATCTTCTGTTGTGGCAGTGCCCACCAACCTTAAGCCCCTTAACTCAGGGTGTCACTTACTTTGAGGGACTTGTGGGTGTTCAACAAAGATAAAACAATATATGCATTTAGCAAAAAAAAAAAGTTACTAATGTGTTGAGTATACAAGAGGATTTATATAGGTGTTTGGAACAACAGATTGATGCTCTATATCCTATTCAAATTATCGGATGGAGGTTTAGGATTTAAGAGTTAGGAGCCATCTCGAGTGTCATGACAAATACCATTGGAATTGTGATACTTCTAAAATTTACAATGAGAGTCATTATAATTAGAAAAAAGTTTAAAGACACTTGTAGGATATTTGGCATAATTCTAACACCTCTCTGGATATTTCAACTTTGCATAGTGAAATTATGAATTTAAAGAATGCTGCTCTGCTGAGCTTTGATGCTGCAGATACTGCTGATAAAATTATCCATGGCCTGAGGTCAGTATTTCCATTTTGGTCAAACCTCAGGAAAGGCACATATAGCTTGATCATGCTAGCACTTTTTGTCCTGGAAATACTTTTATTCCTGTCCATCATGTTAAAGCTTGTCTCTAACAACATCAACATGTTGGCAGCCAAAGTACATGACTTGAAACTGAAAATGGACCCCCGGACAGAGTTATTAATTTAACAGGTTGGCAAGCCAAGGACGGGTAAGATTCTTCACAGAGCCTTACAAACCAAAGACATAAGTGCATTACTTTTGATAATGCATATTCCATGATGAGTAAGGAAGGCATTCTTGGCAGAACAACCTAAGACAGTCTCAGTCTTGTTTATGAAATAAAAAAGGAGGAGAGGTGGAGAGCTTTTGGGGCTTCTTTGCAAGAATCTGGCATGGGCCAATGACAAGGAGATGGGCTTCAGGCAGGAATCTGACATTAGGCAAGAACAAAGAAGTAATTTCAGGCAGGAATCAAAATCGTAGGCTAGAACAAGGAAGTAGGCTTCAGACATGAAAATGACTTTGGGCTAGGACAGGGAAGTTGGCTCAGATATTTTGGTCATCCTGATAAGCCCTTAGAAACAGTGATCACAGGAGTGTTCATGGAATTTTGTTTATTGTCTTGTTTGTTCTTTGACTATTTGTGTTTATTGTCTTGCTTGTTCCTTGACTATTTGCATCTATTGTATTGCCTAGTTCCTCAACCTAAAACTGACCTTAATACTTGCATGTAATTTAAACAGTATAAAGGCAGAAAAGGAAGGATGGGATGGGGTTAGTGGGGTGTGGGGAAATGGGGAAAGGGGATAACATCTGAAATGTATAAATATTGAATAAAAAAAACAATATATGACACCAGTAAGTCCTTTCCAGATAGAGAATTCTTTTGTAGGAGGCCAAAGACTGGACAAGTTTTGAGATAGGGGCTTTGTGGCATAGGGCAAGATCAAACCTTCCAAGAGATTGCATTGGAAGGAGAGAAAGGAATTTTCAGACTGAGATCATTGAGGTGTATCTAACTTCTAGGCTCTGAGCACACTGTACCTGTATAGAGGAGTTTACAGTGTAGCTATGACTACATGGGGAGGCTCTCTCCAGAGCTAAGTAGTACAGTCTATACTTGGAGTTAAATTCAAAACCCTGGTCCTGTCACTCAGCAGATGTGTGCCTTTAGACAAAACTCTGAGCCAGTTACCATCTCCTCCCTGCAATCCCACTTTGCCCATGTGGAAAAAAAAATCAGAAAGGCAGAGCGTATTTTAAGTATCAAATAAAATCACGTGTGTAACTAGGTAGAGACAAATAGTCCTTATCAGAGAATAAAGTAGAAATCGGCACCATGAGGAAGGTGATCTGCAAGCACTTGGCTATCAATATAATCACCAGTGTGGCTATTTCAGTCATTCAGACCCTTCACCTAGCCACAAAAAGTGAGGCAGCTGCTTCCTGGAAGACAAGAGGAGGAGTACAGAACAGCAGGTTATGAGGTGCAAAAGTATCGTGCCCCTGGTTCTTCATCTAGCTTTAGAACAACAGAAAACAGTCATCTGAATTTTGAAATGTAACTTGTATAATAGGTGTGTAAAAAGCAGGGAGTGTGGGTTCAGCAGGCAATTGAAAGGTGAGGCAATGAGGGCAAGGAGATGCAGAAGGCTGGGATAGCCTGGAAGGTGCACAGGGTAAGGAACCTTGTCACTTAGTGCAAGCTAAGCCATGCACAATCAGGCCCTTCCCAAAAATCACTGCCCAGGGCCACAACCTGGAGAGGTAAACTGTGTTGGACAAAGATGGCCTTACCATATGACTCTGCTTGTAACAGAAAAAGCAGAAACCTTTCAGAGTCCCTGAACAAACAATGTTTCCACACTGAAGACAGGAATTTTTCTCTTTTAGTTTTTACATTGTGTGTGTGTGTGTGTGTGTGTGTGTGTGTGTGTGTGTGTGTGTGTAGGCTGCAGGACTACTAAAAGAAGCCGCTTCTCTCTTCCCACTCCATGGGTCCAGAGACATAGCTCCAGTTGTCAGTACTTTAACTTCCTAAGCCGGCTCGCCATCCCAAGCAGGAATTTCTAAGAGCTTCTGAATAAAGACAAACTTCCCCTTGTATCTTAGTCGATTCGCTCTAACTCCTGGTAACTTCTCATGCAGATCCTTGTGTTTTGAAAGTGGATCCTGGCAGCTGCTATGAAGTGCATTTTAGATTTTTCTACAACCAGACTGCCAAAGACTGTCAGGTTTTTCTGTACGGTGGATGCAATGGTAATCTTAATAACTTCAAGCTTAAAATCGAGTGTCAAGTAGCTTGCCATGAAATATACAAAAAACCGCCTCCCCCACCGAGGTAAGGAATATAACCTCATCTTTGGTCTTTAAGATGAATGGTAAGAGAAAGCTCTGAGATCCAAGGGTAGGGAAAATTAGTCAGAGCTTACCCTATTTTAGGATGTAAAGAGGATAGATTGTTCCATAAAAGTTTCTAACAGTTAAGCTGGATCTCAGAATAAATTGTAGACTTTGCCCAAGGGGTGATGGTGCACGCCTTAAAGGCATTTGGGAGGGCAAGGCAGATGGATCTCTGAGTTTCAGGCTAGCCTAGTCTACAAAGTGAGTTCCAGGACAGCCAGAGCTACACAGAGAAACACTGTCTTGTAAAACAAACAAAATAAAACAACAACAAATTGTTGACTTTGTAATTAGAAAAAAATCAAAAGTTCAGGGAGAAAATCCTCACTGAACAACTGAGTTTTGCCACAGTGTCAGATGTTCTGCTGAGCAATTACCATATAATGATATAATCTTACATTAAAATAACAGCCGGAAAAGGAAGCGTTCTTTAAGAGAGTTGGCAACAAAGAACCTTGCTATGGATTTGAGATTGACCACTCTCCAGCCTGGTAGACTGAAGCAAACAGAAAGAAAAGAGACCTCGCTACAGAGAGCATGGAGAGAGTCCAGAAGATATCCCCTGGCCAGGCTTCGCACCTAGGCAGCTGCAAAGGTCAGTGTGGGGTCCATGGACCAGCTCCAACAGGTTCAGTTTCCTGAGAAACCAGGCTTTGCCTCCCGCAGTCCCAAAGACGACTACTCTCAACCTTGATCAGAGAAGCTCCCTTTAGCAGTGAACAGAAAGACTCATGGCTGCCCAAGGCACTAAGAGATGAAGGAAGTCTCCTCCAACTGGTGTTAGAGCTGGATGTTAAGGGGGAGAGCTGCAAAACCCTGTCCTCTGGACAGAGTGTAGACTCTGTAATTCTGAACTCACAGCAGCTGCAGCTGCGTATGTGTGCCTTCACAGACCTAAGCTTGGAAACAGGAATCGGAGAGAGGGCTTCAGGATTCGTTTCCCTGGGGAACAGCTGGCTACTGATGGACACTGGTAAAGGACAGTGACTGTCTTCAGTGGTCTATCCACCAGCAAGTCCAGAGCTGTGGTCATATGCATAGCTCTAACCAGAATCCATGGGTCACAAAACAAAATGACATAAATCCTCTTAAGCAAGCAACCTTTGGGGCGAGGTGAAAGAGCCAGAGTGAGATGAAACTAAGGACACATTGTATACATATGTGTGTGAAATAGAATAAATTACTAAAAGATCTGAAAAAAAATAAGATTAAAGGAGTCCTACAGTAGATTACTAGTATTATTTTCACCTAATAGATGAGGAAAACAAGTCCATTAGATGTAACCACTTGAAGCCTTGTGCTGGTGCCAGCACCACGCCTTTAATGCCAGCAGAGACAGATGGATCTCTGCAAGTTCAAGACCAACCTGGTCTACAGAGTGATCTCTAGGGCAGCCATGAGGACTACACAGAGAAACCCACCTTGGGGAAGTGGGGGGATAGTAACCAATGCATAACAAGTTAGTTTAGGTTTTTGATATTTATTTTGAAATTAGATCTGACCATCACAGGGCTCTTGCCCTGCTTACATGCTCCCAAGTCAAATCATTGCATTTTTCAAGCCTCCTAAATCTCTGTAGAGACATGCTACTTTGTACAGCTGAAGTCCCTGCTCAGAACTGATGATTTCCAAGTTATTAGAACAAGACAGTCAATGTGTCCTATCCAAGGAGAGCTGTAACTAATTTCCATAAAATGAGAAGTGCAGTAGCCTAGGGAGTGACTCAAAGGCACCAGTTCTGGTTTTGGTCATTCCTAAGGGATCTTTGTCATGACTAGAACATGGGTAGTGGCTATCTTTTGGGAAAATGAAACAGATTCATGGAAGAGAGGGGCCATCCTCTAGGATTGTCCCAAGAGAGAAATGACTTACAGTAACCCAGGGAGACTTTTTGTAACCTGTAACATGGATCTGATTTTTCTACTTAAACAGAAAACCTGAACCTGAGCCTGAGCTGGAACTTAAAAGTATGTGTGTTCATGGAGGTTCTTGGATGGACCATCTGAAATAAAGATTCAAGAAGATTCAGAGCAATGTTTAGATTTTTTGGAACATGTCCATAATCTTCAACACTTTGATTCACTATTTTCCTGTTCCTGATTTTGTCTTTCCTGAAATAAAAATTACACAGTCATTCAAAAATAAGAACATCTTCCTATGTGTCCTTCCTGTATCTTCACCCCGTTGCCTTGTCCAGAGAATGTCAACAGGCTCTATCCTATAGGTCTCTCTTCTCTCATGAGCAACTCCTCATACATCCAGATTATGCCAACATCATTCCAGGACAGCTGACCAAATTGCACTGATTGGGGTCCTCCTTTATGCAATCCAGCTCATCGGTGCCCCCAAGAGCAGCAAACCTATGTTCGACGTTAAATCTTGAAATCAAATACAGCACTGAACCTCACACTTACCTGAAATGTTTCTCCACTGGAACAAATTTTTCTTTGTCAGACTTCCTGATTCATGTTTATCAATCCTCAAAGACCAGTTAGCTTTGCTGATCTCTTAAGTTGCTCCTTGCTTAATAGTAATCATTTAGGTAGCCTTAAGAGCTTGGTGACTGAAACTTGACTTGGTCATTGTCAACCTCCCTGGAAAAGGAAACCTTAGCCTCAGTCTCATCGCTTTGTTTCTCCTACCGAACGAATGCTCTCATCCATGCATAGACTGTCAAGCCTGAAGGGAATGTGACCGGGTGGGTCTGGCCATGATCTACCCAGCTCTAGCATCCTCAGGTTGACCATAAAACTCTAAAATGTCTTGAGTATCCCAGATGAGTCTTCATGGAAGTACGGTTGTCCTCTAGATACCTACCCTGTCTAACTCACAAAGTCTAACTCCTCATCTGGAAATCACTTGTGAATCACCAGCCTCAGAGACACTACAAATCACTGAAAACCTCTGTGTGTGTGTGCGTGTGCGTGTTCGCGAGCACGCAGGCCAGAGGAGGGTATCCAATCCCCTGGATCTGGAGTTAGAGGTAGCTGGCAGTTGCCTGACTCGGGTGCTCTTCTCCAAGAGCAGCACGTGCTCTTACCCACCAAGCCATCTCTGTACCACTACCACCCATTTTGTTTTTAAACTTCATTTTCTTTTTTTACTTTTGTTCTTTGGATTTTTTTAAAGACTTATTTACATTACCAGGCATGGTACTACATGTCTTTAATACCACTACTTGAGAGTCAGGAAGAGGGGGTTGGGGATTTAGTTCAGTGGTAGAGAGCTTGGTGCGAGACCCTGGGTTCAGTTCTCAGCTCTGGAGAGAGAGAGAGAGAGAGAGAGAGAGAGAGAGAGAGAGAGAGAGAGAAAGATTCAGGAAGAGGTAAGTGGATCTCTGTGAGTTTAAGGCCAGCCTGGTCTACAAATATACAGTGAGACCTTGTCTCAAAAGTGGGGGAAGGGTATGTCATTTTATGAGTATGAGTGCTTTGCCTGCATGTACACCTGTGCTCCACATGTGTTCCTGGTGCCTACAGGGGTCAAAAAGAAAACAAAATAGAGCAAATGGTTTGAGATCAGAAGAGCTAAGCCATCAGAAAACCAATTAAGACAAAGGCAAGAGGATAAAGACATCTTGTGTCAAATCACAAAACAAAGATACAACAGTGAAAACATATGAACTGGAGCATCACAACCCATTAGATATACACGTTAGCAAATGAACCAGAGCATCACCAGCAAGCTGGATACATGTTAGCAAATGGACCACAGTGTCACAAGCAAATACATTAGCAAATGAACCAGAGCATTGCCACCAAGCTGGATACATGTTAGCAAATGGACCACAGTGTCACAAGCAAACACGGTAGCAAATGAACCAGAGCATCACCAGCAAGCTGCATACACATTAGAATTGTGTTCTAAGAAAAAAACCATGTGTTCAAAAGCAGAGTCATCAAACCTTTGTAAAAGTCGAGATACAGCTGGAGAGCTGGCCTAGCAGCTAAGAATGCTTTCTGCTCTCACAGAGGACTGTGGTGTGATTCCCAGCGTCCCGGTCTGGCAGCCCCCAACCCACTGTTAACTACAGCTTCAGGAAACCAGATGCCCTCTTCTGGCTTCCTCAAGTACCTGCACTTGTAAGCACATAACACACAGACACACTCACAAATGTTAAAACTCAAAAAGCTTTCAAAAGTCAAAATAATAAATACTTTCTACCAATAGGTAAAGTCAAATGTATTATACAAGAGAATAGAACCCGAGAGCCGTGATGCACATGTGTAATCTTACCAGGTCAGGTGAAGCAAGAGGATTCCAGGGTAGCCTGTGCTATGTAGTGAATTCTAGGCCACTTATGACCCTGCATGAGAAATTTAAAGAACGAATTTTACAATGACAATAATAAAGCTGATCTGGGAGTGGTAGTGCACACTTTTAATCACAGCAATCAGGAGGCAAAGGAACACAGGTCTCTGTGAGTTTAAGGCTAGCCTGGTCTATATGGGCAGTTTCAGGCCAACCAGAGCTACATAAGTGAGACCCTGTCCCAAATTAAATAAATAAATCTGGGTGTAGTCATGCACACCTGTAGTCCCAGCTACTCTGGAGGCTGACACAGGAGGATACTTTAAGTTCAAGATTTTTTTTCTTTCAGATTTTATTTTTAGTTATGTGTATGTACCCATAGAGGAGAGAAGAGAGTACCAGGTCCCCTGAAGCTGTGAGCCACCTGGCCTGGGTGCTGGGACCAAACTCTGGACCTCTGCAAGAGCAATACGAACTCGTATCTAATGAACCACCTTTCCAGACTCAAGTCCAAGACATGGAGACTTGCTGGGAGAACATTATGAGGTCAAGAATGAAAAGGAAGGAAGGAGAGAAGGAAAGAAGGAAGGACTGAAGATGTGAAACTTAAATGTAAAAAAGAAAAACTAACAAAATTTGAGATTCTTGTAGAAAAAAAAAATCTTATGTAAGAAAATAGACAACTTCCAGGTAAGACAGGAGGCTGGAAAGTGCCTCCAGGAGATCTGGAGAAAGGAGTCAGGTGGAAAAAAAAAAGTGTAGATGTCTTTCCAGAGAGAGAAGAACAGAAAGAGCTTTGGAACCCACAACACGAACGAGTACCTGAAACATGCAGAGAATGGCTCGGACTGGAAGGGGAAAGTGTTTACTGTGTAAGTTTGGACTGAGTTCAGATGCTCAACACTCAATAAAAAATGGAGCAGGGTGGTATGCACCTGTAAGTCCAGGGAGCAGAAGCTAGCGAACCTCTGGATGGTAGTAGCCAGCCTTTCTAGCCAATTGCTAAGCCCCAAGTATTGTGAGACAGCCTGTCTCAAAAATACGATAGAGACCAATAGAAGATATGTGCACACACATATATACACCGTACACACCGGTACACACACTGTTGCTATTGCCTCTAAGTAAGCCGTTATGTCTGTACTCTCTGGTCTTGAATACTTTTTTATACGAACCTTAAAGTAAAAGAACAGAGGATAGAGAGACAGCTTACAGTTGTCTCCAACTCCAGTTCCAGGGATCTGGTGCTCTCTTCCAGCATCCTTCAGCACCAGACATGCATGTGGTGCACAGGCAAAACACCCGTACACATAAAACAAAAAGAAAAGCACAATCCATCAAACATACTTGGGTGTTAGACCAGAACTGCATGTACAATCAAAACCAATGCAGGACATACTTCTATGTGACATCCGAAAGACTCACATGAAACCTGGGTGAGTCACTGAGAAATCAGTTATGCATACAAGAGATACTCAGGTGAAAATATACAAGAAGGCTGACCACAAATAAATCCATTCAGCCGGAAGGACAAGCTGAAAGCAGAACGGAAGGAAGAGACTCCTGCTGTTCTTCATCCTTTGACTCAGGACTAATTTCAGCAAAAGCAATGAGGAAAACTTGTATCGCACGTCTGATAGTTTAATCTCCTGAGAGGAGGCATGTGAGAAGGCTGGTGTCAGCTCTCAATGCCTCTCAGGGCCTTCCATCTAAGTGTTAGATGGTGTTAAATGATGGAGAAGAACACTCAAATCCTCCCATTGTAGGGCTGTGGGTGTGGTGCATCCAGCAAAAGCCGGCAAGCCTATGACCCGAACTCAATACCTGGATCCCATGTAGAGACAGAAAGAGAGAACGGACTCCACAAAAAGGGTCCTTTGACTCACACGTGGGCTCCGTGATGTGTTACCCGGAAGTGTGAGGAAACATTGCTCTTTGTTTGTTTGAGACAGGGCCTCATATAATCTTAATAATGTTTCCATTACTGTGACGAAACACTATGACCAAAAACAAGCTGGGGAGGAAAGTTTAGTTCAGCTTACACTCCCTCCATCACTGAAGGAAATCAGGGCAGGAATTCAAACAGGGCTGGAATCTGGAAGCAGGAACAGAAGCAGAAGCCATGGAGAAACACTGCTTTCTGGCTAGTTCTTCACGGCTTACTCAGCCTGCTTTCTTATAGTACCCAGGACCACCAACTCAGAGTGGCACCACCCACAATGGGCTGGCTCCTCCCACTGGCTCCTCCCACTGGCGTCAATCATCAATCAAGAAGATTCCCCACAGGCCAGTGGAGCACTTTCTCAACTGAGGTTCCCTCTTCTCAAATAACTCTAGCTACTATCAAGTTGATATCACAACAGCCAAGTTGATTAACTCCTGATCCTCCTGCCTCCACCTCCCCAAGTGCTGGCGGTACAGATAGCCATCACCACAGCCAGATGTTACCTGATATTTATTTTTGTGCATAAATTATCTGTGATATCCATTTTTTTCCATATTGTGTTGAGTTCTCATCTGCTTGACCTCTTGGCTTCTGGGGGGCAGGGGACGGTGTAAAGTTTTAAATCTCACACTGTAATTTGAATTGACAACTGTTTCTAGACCCACAAGTGTTATGTTCAATTTGTGTTAGCACATCATTAGGAGTTCACATTCAGTATGTGTGTGCATACATGCATACGTGCATGCCTGTGTGTATGCATGTATGCATGTGCGTGTGCATGCGTTGTGTTGTGTATGTGTGTGTGTGTGCATATGTGTGTGTGTATGGAGTCTTCCCATCTTACTTTCTTTGGATACAGGCTCTCTTTTCACTAGGACCTGGGGCTCATTTTTTTTTTTAGCCCAGGCTAGCTCACCAATGAATCTCCTGT